TGCTCCATTCAATTAAATTTTGCTTGATTCAACAATTCCTTTTTTTCCGTGAACAAACTTGAGATTAACTTACATAAAAATCAATCTATCCTGGTTTCTTCGAAATCAAATATAAGGCGATAGTGATAGTGTGAAATTACTTGGCGTGCAACTAGACGATAGGCTCAACTGGGCTCCTCATATATCGAATCACTAGCGAAGAAACTATCTTTCACCATTTTGATCCGACGTTTAAGGAATATTGTCAGTTCACATGTTCTCAGATCTTGATATATCGAAGACTGGAACCTTTGGCACGATAATACACTACACTGTTTTACCACTAACCAAACCGATTTTTCAACGCCTCGACACGTGTTTCGCTAACTATGTTAGCGTCTTCAGGAGAAGATTAAAACTGTTTTAATCTTCTCCTGAAGATGCTAACATAGTTAGCGAAACACGTGTCGAGGCGTTGAAAAATCGGTTTGGTTAGTGGTAAAACAGTGTATAGTGTTCTCAGATCTTGTTACTATGGGTTATTCCATAGTAATTTGTCTCACGTTATTTTAATATGGGGTGACTCCTGTCATTCTCATAAAGTTTTCATGTTGCAAAAAAGAGTTATTAGAGTAATGACAGGAGTGCATTTTCGCGAGCACTGTCGCCCTCTTTTTGTGAGTTTCCAAATCATGTCACTTCCTACACTTTTTATTTATAAATCTTTACTCGAAATCCATAATACTAAAAACAATTATACGGTTCAATCCGAATTACATACCCTTATTCCAGTCGCAATGGCAACTTGATTATAATATACCTATAAGCTCATGTTACAGATGCCAAAAAGGAACTCTTTGAATCTGCACCTCTACAACAAGATATATTTTGAAAGTTCAAAGAGTGCGGCAGCGCGGTCCGACATTCGTTTGATGATCTGTTCAACTGACTTTGCATAAACTTTACCTTCACTGAAAAACCGCTTTTATAGGATCAAAGAGTATCTTGATCTGAGCATGGATGAACTCGAAACTTCTATTTTGTAAAGTACTATTTCATCAGACGATCAAGTAATTCAATGTTATTAGTATAGAAATGTCCTTTGTAGGTTGATCGAGGGGGTGAAATATTCATTTCTTCAAAACGATCCACGCAATTGAAAGAAACAAAATGCATGCACCACAACAAAAACTACCATTAATTACTGTGAAAATACGTCAATATGTCATTCACTGCCCTGATCGATTCGTTGTGAAGGTTCAATGAAGCTTAGTAAAGAACAGAATTATATTAATAACTTGACATTTAATTATTTGACATTTTTTCTAACAACTCCTGTCTAGGGTACTGGGTGATCTAAGTCAGGATTTTCAACAATTACAAAGTACATTCCCGGCATATCTGAAGAAATAAAACGTGTGGTGATAAAATTCGAACGAATAATCCGAAAAACGATTAAGAATCATCGAAGAGTTATTGTAATATACAATATAGGAAAAGTTATACCTTATTTTTGATTGTAGATAAAGTATTATACAACAAATGAAACAAAGATACCTTTCTTACGGTAAGGGGTAAGGGGAAAGGGTGAAACAATATAAGAACAATAAGTATATAAGAAATGGCCATAAGGAAAAATTACTCACGAAACTTCTAATTAAAACATTTCTCATAGCATCTTACTAACATGTTGACAGTATCTTCTGTTAGAAAAATTATGTTTCTATAACACATACCTCGAAAACACTATAAAACCTTCTTTATAAGTATTTTTCCGTATCTGATATCATTATGACTTCATTGTGTTATTATTTCACAAAATCTTATCTCCCATGGAATGTCAAATTTCGAGCAATGACAGCTCTGTCTAGTAGAAGACAGCATTACTCAAGAGAGAATCAGATGTCTACAAGCCGAAGGAATTACAATTTTCGCTGTTATCTGTTACAGCCATAGAAAAAGTACTTATAGCGTATAACTCGCATGAAATGCTAAATGACTAGCATTCCGTGCTCCTTAATCAATATATAGATATAGTATTTTCATAGCAGCTAGGGTAAATTCTCCTTCAGTTTGACGTGGTCTTTATGGCACCTCCATGTCATCTTCTCTACGCCTATGGCTTGTCCTTAATCAATATATAGATATAGTATTTTCATAGCAGCTAGGGTAAATTCTCCTTCAGTTTGACGTGGTCTTTATGGCACCTCCATGTCATCTTCTCTACGCCTATGGCTTGTCTTCAGTAGTTATTTGTGTAGAGGTTTTATCTGTTCCTAACCGTTTTTTAGTCAAATAGGTATTGAAATGTTCTGAATTTTATTCCTTCAGAGATCAATATCTCAAATAGTATATGACTCGAAGGAGACAGCTGTATCAATAAATCTTGTACAACATGACCGTTCTTCTATAATAATCAGCGTTGCATTTTTTACTTCAACATACATATACATTGAACTGCTTTGGAAAGTTTTGCCAAGTTGTGGAAACGTAGATATATACTCTTACATGGAATTTTTCAATCTGAAATGCAGTCAGCTGGAGACTATGGCGTCAGCTGCTGGAAACGGCTGAAATTTAAACATTTGTTTCGTGTATTAATTCTTGGATGTTCGTGTGCCCAATGTTTTCATTTCAGTGTTGAGGAAGATTCTTGCCAAATGTAGTTTGATAAATCAATCACATACTTTCATATCAATAAAACTGATGCTCAATAAATGCGGAATTCCACAAAACTCTTGATAACACTACATGCATTGGCTAACACAATAAAGTTTCTTCAAAGAAAATTTAGTTTAATTATATGATTGTCATCTAAACTATATGATTTTCCTTCAATATATTATGGTTAGCGTACTGTAAAATGGGAGACAAATTCACTTTCATTTTTTTATTAACGTGGTGATTTAGGGACGCAAAGCAACACTTTATGTGTACAAAATTTCCTTATATGCATTCAACCTATAAAGGATCATAAATGGTAAAAGAAATATTTACTGCTCCAAGTTACCCCTGGGTTGGGATGGGACTGTACCAGTTTTACACTGAAAATGCAACTATACTCACAGTTTGCTTATGCGGGACAGCAGAAAAATAAAAATAATAGACCAGCACACATCTTGAGTTGACATTTTTTGCTCACAGAATTATCTATGAATGAAGTGAAGACCAAGAAGAACAAAGAGGGCTGTCCCAAGGTACCCAAAATCATGAGTTTTTTCAGAAAAATATTCGAGAATCTAAAAAAAAATTGTAAAAGCAAGCAACAACATTAGCAGTATTTATAAAACATTCAAAACTAACTAAATATGTATTTGGACTTTGGACCTTTTGACTATGCCTCTTATATTGCCTTGGGTTCTCATCACTACTTATATATACCAAGAGACCTCTTTCAGTAAGGACGAAGCAACATAAGTACAATATAAAGAAAAGACTCATCTACAAATCGAAACTAACTGAACATATCCTCACTGAAGATGGACAACATAATAATATGGCAGAGTCGAATAATATTAAAATCATTGGAAAAGAAGATAACAATCAGAAGAGAAGAATCAAGGAATCTGCCTGCATTCTTCTGAACGGAGACAATAGCATTTCTTCCTGTTCAGTTGATATAGATAGAACATGGTATTCACTATTGAAATCTGAAAATGAAAATGGTACATTCGAGATTAATTAATGAAAACATCCTGTAACTAATTTGATTGCCAACGTCACCAATAGTCACTGAAAACTGAGAAGTATCAAGAAAAATACGAAATTGCCATACAAAAATCCATTTTTTTATGTTGAAAACGGGAGCAGATTTGTTTCCGAATTTGTCCCTACTACACGTATATCGAAATAATATTGATATTTTTGTTTTATATAGGGACGAGGAGAGAAAATCCCAAATAATCTGGAATAATGAATGTACCACCTCCTCGATTAACCTACATACAGTATTTAAGCTTTACTCAATACAAAAGGACAAGATCCACTTTTTCAATTATCAGTATATTCCTGATTTATCAAATTGAGAAATTTTATCTGTATTATCTTTGATTTATTGATGAATGGAAACAGAAAAATTATACCATATATTTTATTTCGACGAGTGCTTCATATAATCAAGATTAACTTAAAGGTAAGTTTGTTTTCATCTTGAGATTGATTCACTTTGACAGCGCCATGGAAAAGAATGAATACTTCAATCCGCAGGTAAAAATTCGTTATTGATTATGTAAATAGGTACGACACCCTAAAATAAAATGCACAAAAATTCACCGATTTATCTTCTCTTGCATGGGAAAACATCAAGTTCGTCCTTTACTGATGGGAAGATATAATATTCATTCTGCCTATTCACAATGAACATTATGCTAATACCCTCGACAGTAAGCATTATCTTTTTTGGGATTTATACATTTCTTTGGATTTTCGACACATGCATAAAAATGGCACCCTTTCAAGCAACAATAAATTATTCAACTTAACAAACATTAACAAAAAAAATTGCATGTATACTCAATGTGTAATTCTTTGAAAAGAATCTGTTCTAATTATATAGCATATACGTATATTAATAGCATATTTTTTCCACCAAAAGCTATGAAACCTATACAATTATTTACTCCTTTTCGAGGCGTAACGTGAGTTTTTACTACGAAGGTAGTTTCCGTTATACAGGGTTATGATAAAGTAATGCACAAAATTCATGAAACGTTACAACAATCACTTTTGAAATAAATGCAAAAACACGTCAAACTGTTTTTTTTATTCCGCATCTTTTGACATAAGTTACAAAAATAACACGTCAAAGTTGTCAAAGTTATGACGTGTTCAATTAGACCTATACAATGTGTTTGAAATCACCTCAGCAACCACCCGTCACCACACCGATACCCATAGACGTTGTCCCAGAACACCCTGTAGAGGTACTCTAGACCTGCCCACGTGACCTACGAGTACCAGCCGCCATCTTAACCGGCCCTACGGTTACGTAATGCGAGTCACGTGTCGGCGGCCTGCCGATAATGACTACAACCCTAAGCGACAACCCTTTGACGAGACGAAGTCTTGAATGGGACGCGTGTATATATAGGGATATAGGGACCATTCACCTCCGGTCGGGCTGCATCTTAGGTATATAACTGTGGTAAGGTGGTACCCCGACTTCTAATAACCCAGGGTGACAATAATTCGAAATAGGTATTCGATATAAACCCTTCTATAGTCATATAGTACCTATACTTTCGTTGTATTGTTGTGCCTGCCTTCTGGTAATGTTTGCAGGGGTGGGTAACAGGGGCGCGCCTAGACACTTCGCCGCCCGTGTGCAATATGTTCTGGGCCGCCCTCGAAAAAAATTCAAATGAAACGAATTTTGAAAACTGACATATTTTGGAAACTGAAAAGTAACAAATAATATATCAAACTCGTTTCAAGATGTCTCAAGAGATGATTTCATTCACGGAACATAACATAATATAAATAAACATAAGTAACATAACAAATAATATACGAATTGGAAAATTCATATGAAATTAACATTATTTCATTAACATATGAGTTTCAGGTAATACTTTGAGAAAAACACATGGAGGGGCGATAATATCACAGTGAAAATCATAGAGAAAAATCATTTTTCTCGCTTTCTGCTGAGGAAATTCTTCGATGAGCATGTCATCATCGATTGTTTCTAATAATTCAGATTCGAAGGATATTGAAGCAAGGTCCAGGCTCATTTTAGACCTCAAATAGTTTTTTATTATCTCCAACTTAGAAAATGACCTTTCTCCATTAGCAACTGACACCGGTAAACTTAATAAAATGTATATACTGTGAAATTTGTTGTGGATGATTTTCTATTTTTCAAGATAAATCACTTTCAATGATTTCAACTCATTGAATAAATCTGTCCCGTCTATATCTGCTTCCTTGTGATTTTCATCTGTTAACTTTTCTTGCAAATTTTCATAACTTTCGAGTAAACTTGTTTCATCAAAGTCCTTACCAAAAGCTAACTAGAGAAATCCAGAACATCCATTATAATCTTTGAGAGACTCGAATCTCTCATCGAGAGAACATGTTATTTGGTCGGTGATGGCATAAAAAAAATATCTTGAATTTGCGTGCTGTTGGTAGTCAGTCTGATAATCATCATTTCGCTCGTGCATAATCAAACAATTTTGGTCTCTCTCTCCTTCTAGACGTTTCTGGAAAGTATGTTTCAGAATCTGAATTATCAGCTATTGTCCGAGAATTTTTTCAAAATTTTTGAATAGTTTTCATCGGATCTGCAGCAAAAAAAATCTCAAATTATTCAATTGATCAAGACATACTTCAATATTGAGTGTAGAACATGGAAAGAATTTCCTACAGATGTTGATTTTTAACAAAATATTATGATGCCATATCATTTATTGATTTTGCTAGCCATTGAGAATACTTTGTGTTTAGTCGACAAATCGAAACTATCATCTTGAGATACTTTCCACAAGTGCATTGAAAATGTTCTTATTCTGATGCCGAAAAGGTTTTCGTACGCGATATCGCACAAACAAAATTTTCATACAATTGAATGTAGTCCAATGGCTAAAAAATGCAATTCTTTCATTACTCAGCTAATGCCAAAGATTACTGAAATAGTTTATCTTCTGTAGTTTATGCTAATGCGAAGCGATGGTAGTATATCGCGAAAAATCGTGCCGCTATCGTCCTGTGGGCCACCAGCGTAAGAAAGGTTGTTTGTTTTCTTATTTTTTCTTCTATTAAGTGTTGTTAATTTAGTGAATGGGATTGAAATTTTATTACAAGGATTTTTATAGTCTACAGAGTAATATTATGTTCAAAATAACGAAGTATTATTTAGTATCTCGTGATTGGCCGCCCCTGAGGGTGGCCGCCCGTGTGCGGTGCACGCAGTTGCCACTGTATAGGCGCGTCCCTGGTGGGTAAGACACTTCAAGAACTTTTTCTACTGTCGTAGATGAGTGAGAAAACCTTGTGAAACTATAAACATTGGGATCATTATGAAAACATAACACGTATAACGAATATTCCCTTAGATATACCGGGTGTCGCAGGAGACATGTATAACAGACTGTTGTTTTTTTATTTGGAGAGATAAAAATTTGAAATTTATACAAGGATTATATTAACAATGATGAAGCTTCCTTTGAACCCCATGAAAAATTTCTTCAAACACCTGTTTGATCAGAAACTTTTTTTTTCAAATGGCACCCTGTATATTTCTGTAGCCTATCTTATTCGCCTTAAAATTCTCTATTCAACTATGTATCACAATTTGATATTCGTTCATCAATTGGCTGTTAAATTGCATTTTATTGAAATACATGAAGTTGGCTGTGACCCGAATGTCTGGCACCACCATCCCCACCAAGCCCACCATATCTATGCTCGGTATTTCCATCAGCAACACTCTTTCATGGAATAATCATGTCAGATCCATCGCAAAAGCTGCTTCACAAAAACTCGGATACTTGTTCCGAGTGAAAAGCTACTTTACACACCAACAGCTTCTCATGATCTACAAAGCGCAGATACGGCCTGTTCTAGAATACTGTTCCCACATATGGGGTTCAGCACCAAAACATACGCAGATGCTGTTAGATTCCATCCAGAGAAGAGCCATTCGCCTAGTGGGTGACGCCACACTCTCTCACTCTTTGACATCATTGGAACACCGTAGAAAGGTCGGCGACCTTTCACTTTTTTATCGATACTTCCACGGGAAATGTTCTTCAGAAATCTCTGCTATCATCCCTTCACTAGCAATACCAATCAGACGAACTAGACAAGCCCAGTCAGCACATCCTTTCGTTGTCAACCTCGAAAAATGTCGAACGACAGCACTTTATCAAAACTCCTTCATCCATAGAACGGCTAGGCTCTGGAATTCATTGCCTGAGGAAGTATTCCCAACAACATATAATCTCCAGAAGTTCAAAAAAAATTCCAATACCTACCTCCTGTCGCTATCCTCCCTATAGGAACGCACGATGATCTTCGAACATTATAGGGATTTCCTTTCGTGCGCTCCAAGCGATAAAAAAAATACAATGACATTATGATGCTTGATAGGCTTAGGAATCCAAAGATCGTTACTTAGACCTTAGCCTTAGACGAATTTATCAGAATATTTTCCATACCCTAAACAGCCCCAGAAAATTGCCAATAATTTCATTGAGTTTAAAAAAATCATCAGAGAAATACTTACGATAATATTGAGAAAACTATAAGATAGAAATTCAGTTTTTTTTTCATTTGGCTACTTGTGAAGGAACTCTTTGTCTTTCATTTTTGCCATATAGCCATAATATGATCATCCATCAACTATCAAAATGTCATTGTATTCGGGCCTCAGCCAAGTTCATGTACTACAATAAAATGCAATTTAACAGCCAATTAATGAACAACTATCAAATTGTGATACATAGTTGAATAGATAATTTTAAGGCAGATAATACGAAAAAAACCGTTATTTGAAGGAATCAATCGAAATGGTTGACACTTCAACATGATGCCACTGCTTCTTCCCTATACTGGTACTGGTACTGGTACTGGTGGGGGACGTTTCCACGTCAGCAACTAGTCCCCAATGGGACCTTTTTGCCAACCCCAAGTGTTTTCAATGACTGATGTGGTTCGCTCAAGAGAGCTGGCTAACATCCTTTTCAGGCACCGCCCATCAGCTCTCTTTTCAGAGTTTTTCAGCTGTGTTTTGTAGGCTAGTAATGTACTTACTACCATATGCGCAGTGGCAGGCCTGCTAACTATCATCGTTAACCCCCGAGACCGAGGTCTACTTAAGCAGCTGGCCCGCTCTCACGCTCAGCTGGTAGTTTTCCACACCCACCTACATACACCGTCCTACTTCTTCTCTGATGCTCACAACCACATCATCATATCTTTCTGCGTGTTCTGTGTAGGCTTTGTTACTAACTCCATGCGCCACTTTAGGAGCAGCACTGTTAATTGGAACGCAACAGCGAATCGTGCAGGACTATCCCCAGCCGATGCTCCGAAACTTTACAATATTTAATTCGTAAATAAAATATTGAAAAAAGTTCCTTGCCCGTGCTGGAAATCGAACCCACGACCTTGCGGTCGTGAGACGGACCTTCTTCTTCCCTATAAGTTGATGGTGTTTTCAAAGTTGTAATTCGACGTTTCGTCTTCCAGAAATCATCATCAACTTTTTTTTAATACATATACCTGGATTTTTTATTTCATTTTTTCAAATCTCTGGATATCCCGAAAGCCATGAGCTATTAGGAATTCTTATTCGGATCATTACATTTTCTGTCTTTTTTTCAATACTCAGTACGAAACTGTGAACGGAACATTCAAAAATAAAAATTTTCGATAGCTCATAGTTTTCCTGATATCCAGAGGCGTGGAAAAATGAATAAAAAATCCAGGTCCAAAGAATCAGTTGGTGATGGTCTCTGGAAGACGAAACGTCGAGTTTCAGATTTGAAAACGAAAACTTGTAGAGAACTCGATATATATTAGTTCAAATCTCTCGACTGTAATGTAACACTTACCACCTTGGTATATTATGATATACTATTATCGCAACTATATTCTAGTCTCTATACCTTCCAACTCAAAGATTCGACTGGACTGGATTTTTTGTGAATACGTCTATTTTGATGTTCTACATTATGTTTGAAAGAGTGCCTCATCTTTGAAAACACCCCGAATATAGCACTTATTCATTCAGTTTTTTGTACATCTGAATATCAATTCGACGCATTTTGAGTGTTTCCGAAATTGAAGCAATAAAATGAATTGGATAGAATACGAAATATCTAAACGAAATGAAAGAATACATTTTTGTCGAAATAGATATTGAGCTTCAATGTTTGCCTGAAACTTATGTAAATCATTGATCAGAAGTTGATAGCCCAACCCAAGCGTTTGCTTTCGACGAGATCACAAGCACCGGAAGTAGTAAACATTTTCACAATGTTGCCGGAGGATTAGGTCTCATGTAACACCTCATTTTATTTATTGCCCCACTTTCGGAAACCCCCAGGTATATTGTATTTGATCAATCACTTTGTGAATTCATATTTGTAACCTTATAGATCTAAAAACTTTATAGATATTGTATA